GAGGGGGCAGCAAAACCACAAAATTACATTGAATACGGGGGGTATTCATTGGATGAAAGGGACCGTGAAAGAGGACACTAAAATAGAATGTTTTTCTACCGACAGTTTCATCTTAGTATTCATCTTTGATATTACATCAATGGATGAAATTTTGTTCGCAAAATCGATGTACATCGTACAACGTTATATTACACAACCGATGGATTGACCTAGTGCAGCAGTTTGGATGTAATATTCAACAACTATTTTTTTTCTGTGTATGCTGAAGGCCAAGGATGAAGTGATTTCTCGATTGGATTCCCGGGGGAGCTTAAATTAAAATAGATGACGGACCACTCGTCTATAATTGGTCGCGGGCGCAAATACATCAAGCGCGTCATAGAAATTGAAAGAATTAATGAAACACACTCGATTCAGTCGAATGGAATTTTTTTTTTTTTTTTCCTTTGGTTTGTTTTTTTCCGTCGATCTTGTTTTCCGTGCTGAGCACCAATGCTACCGACGTGCCAGGAAGGCAGCTCCTACACCTGGACCCTACCTATCGACCCATCAACTCATGAACCGGGGACCAACGGCTTTACTTCCCATCCGAAGGAAGGCGTGATCAGAGATGTTATGCCTCAGAACATCCCGGCGGCGCCGACTGGGATTGAACCCAGGCCTGCTGGGGTGAGAGGTAATCACGCTTACCACTACACCACCGGCGCCGTTAGTCGAATGGAAATGAAAAGAATCATAAAATTGAAACTGAACCCCAAATTTTCAAACGTTGAATGTGAAAATGCACAGATTTTGAGTGGTGCCAGTATTGCACGATTCCGACGATATATCTCGCTCTCTCATTTGTGGAGAGTCGATCGAATTTTATACACGCTAACTTGAAAGTACCCATTAATGGTTGAAAAAGACCCATTTTGAAGAAAAGTGGCTTAACTCATTAAATGAGTAAATTTTTTACCCATTAATGAGTATCTGTTACCCATTAATGAGTAATTGTTAATCATTAATGGGTAACAGATACTCATTAATGGGTAAAATTGTTTAATCATTAATGAGTTAAGCCACTTTTCTTCAAAATGGGTCTTTTTTTACTCATTAATGAGTACTTTCAAGTTAGCGTGTAGGGCAGGTGTGGGATGAGCAGGATGACCAGTGAACCGGGAAATCGGGAAAAAGCCGGGAATTTAGATGACAAATCGGGGAAAAAATTACTTCATCTATTTTTCAGAAAAAAAAAAGATTTTGGGGATTTGAAAAGTTTTAAGATTCTTGGACCAGACTAAACTTTTTTGGAATTTTGAGTAGATTTTAGAATGAATGTCAGGGATAACAAGTCATTTCAGATGATATTAAAGGTAGTTTTAGAAAGCGCTCTAAGAGATTTTAGACTTTCACTCCAAGTCACTTTTGTGAGTTCAAATTCAGCGTAGAATTTTTAAGTTAATCTGTGGAGAATTGCAAATCGGTTGTGAAGATCACAGTATCGTGACCGGACCGAGGTTTCCAGCCTCGGTAACGGCTACACGAATCCGCGATGCTGCTATTCCTGCAGCTGCTGTCGCTTCTGCTGGCTTTCACAAATTTCGTTTGCGTGTTTAGAATTAAAGGTTTTTTGCAGTTTCGTCGTGGAATCGATACCTTCTATCAGTAGAGAGCTTTTGTAGGCCAGCTGTCACCATCCAAACATTATTTTTCACTGAGCATTGACTGTTTCAGGCGGCTGGTTCGGACTCACGCCGACAGTTCGCTCACCTGAGGACGGGACAGAAGGACCAATGTTTCAGGCGGCTGGTTCGGACTCACGCCGACAGTTCGCTCACCTGAAGACGGAACGGAATCTTCTTCACACGCTTGGTCTTGAACTCTTGGACACAGTTTCTTATAAAACTGTGTAGAGGAATCAAACACACAGTCAAATTAATGGGGTAACAAATTTTTTATTGATCTTCAATTAACAATGGTTGTTAGGGGAATGAAAATTTTCTCCGATCTCGCTTCATGGCTTACTGATCTCCAACATTGACTAAAATGGCTACTTCCATGTTTTTCTTTCGTACTGTTTCATTTCAGTTGCACGCATCCCCATGACAATTTAAAGCACCCTCGCATCCAATGCAATCCCATATATATTTTTTTATCCTTACTAAATTTTCGTCAAGACGACAAACTCAAAAAACTATCTTCAAATACATTATTTTATTTTTACATTATTATTTTTCAAATACATCATTTTTCATTCAGATGAATTCTATTTAACCATGCTTGCCTGTAAGCATGGTTAAATAGAATTCATCTGAATGAGTGTCGTTCCCCCTGGTAGAATCCAATGTTGGGCTGCATTCACAATACACTCCATGGTGGGTATGTAAATGATGATACAGCTTTGTCACTATATAGGCGAAGAGGCCGCGGGGGGGGGGGGGGGGAATGCGGTTTTAGAGCAAATTGTAAACAAACTCGGTCGCTGTCCCTTACAAAAATCCAACATGGCTGAATCACGAATTTGACACATTAGAACACCTATATGTAGCCACCTTGATACACTCTTTGCACACTGTCAAAGATCATTACACACAAAATCAACTTTGTTCAAATCAAAACAAAAATACTAGCTCATCTGGTGGCTGATGGCACAAACTTCTAAGAAAATTCTATTACAGTGAACCATATTATTTTAATTGATTTCTTCGCCAGTTAGTCGTCTGTCACTTCGTTTGTGGTACCAGTTTTATTCGTAAATATCAGACCAAGTTTGGTTAAAAACGATTCTGGAGAAATGTTTGAAAATTGTCAGTCAAGACTATCAACAATGATGGGCATCCCTGGATTCTAGCAAGAACGAAATTTATTAAGAAAGTTTTTTTGAAATACAATAGATTTGCCTTGACGATAGTGCCGAAGTGACAGTTCCTTATAAGCTTTTGTGACGGAGTGTGAGAATAAGAAAATGTCCGCCATGTTTCTCACATAGCTTGACAGTTACATAGGAGCGAAGAGTTTCAGAGCTCTCATCAACGCCAATGCAAAGGAGCAGAAGATGAAGTCGCAAGCATTATAAGGCCTTTGTTCTTTCCTTCCCATTTCCAGTAAAATCAACAGCTAATCAACTTTCAATACTCATCAACTCGACTCAACTTATATTTCAAAGTTCGAAATCCTCCCGGAAGAGGCTTAGACGCGTTTTGCTCCTGCTGCTGCCGCCATCGCCGCCATAAACATATTGGGCATAGCTGGGGCCTCATTATGGCAGTCGATACGAAGCGTTTTTCAACTTGCGTACATAATGGGGCCCCAGTTTTTCTAATAATTTCCTCTGTATGTGATGCTTTCATTCGCGAAAACCACGCTTCTCGGTGTTTCTGATGTTTTTTGTTAGTCTCTTAACCTTATATGTATGCAATGTTTTTTTAGTAAGTTTCACATTTAGTTTTCTGTTGTTTTTTTTTCTCCTTCGAATTCATCATATGTGCTTCCTTATTTCGATTAATCAACACATAGAACGGAAAAAAGACTCTTGTCGACAGGTTTGTGAATTTTGCTGCTGTTTTTTTTTTTAGAATCACTTTTTGATATTTTCAAACGCCATTTATCTCTTGAAGCCGAATTGGTTTCACACCGTTTGTGACAAGAGCAACTCTAGGTATTCATGAATTAGTTCTACTCTTCTTCTTCCGCCATCGCACCATCAAATATTCTTATCAAATTCCGCTAAAAGACGTGTATATTAGTGTTTGTTTTCGGAAATTCTCCTCGATTCTAAATTTTAAATTTAGTTCAATATCTTTTCTTTTATCAACTCTTAATGCTAAAATTTATTCTGAATGACACCATCGTTCTCTGCTTTAGGCGAATAATCATTTTACAGTAAACTGGGTTCTTTACTTTGTTATTAAATGTGTAGTGTAGTGACTTTAATATACGTTTTTTTTTTATCCATCGATTTGGAAGTAAAATGAAAGTGTGAAAGTGTGTACGTGTTCAACATTAGGTTTTAGTTGCTTTTTTAAACACCACTACATTTAATATAGATTTGGTTTAACAGTGTTTTCTTTTGTTTTTCCTACGTTTACTTCCAATAAATACACTTTTGTAACAAACTTGAGCACGATTGGCTTTTCCAGTGATAAAGCGCTATTGAGCCGTTGCCAACACAAAATGCGAACTTCTTGCGCTGAGAAGCATAGATGATCTCGATCAAAACAGGGGGCGACAGGCTTTTAAAACAATAACAACAACAACAACGCCACGTTTTCTACGAACGATTTTACTGTTTCTATACTGTGTGCTCTGCCACCGACCGTAATCGAAGTAAGCCAAGGAGCGTTGAAATCAATCGCAAGCGCCGCAGCAACCAATCATAGCCTACTTTGTGTTTTGTTTTTTTGTTTGTTTTCCTACTCAACGAACGGATTCTCAATCCTTATTTGTTTTTTTTTTATTCTTTAAAATAATTATTCCGTCTATATGCACTCACATTTTGATTACGTGGCTTTTAAGAATAACGGTTTGGTGAATTTCTACCGCTTTGGAACCAGTTCAAAAATCTAGAAAATATATGCCTTTTGTTTCCAACGTTAAAATATTAGTTTCCCTCTGCGGTTTTAAAATTCCAATAAAACGTATAATAACGTAACACATTTACAGGAGTTTTCTGGATGCTTTTTTAAAAATTCCTATAATCAGATTTGATAATTTTAAATATTGGTTCTATCTCTCTTCCGGATAACTTGTTTGTGTTTTTTTTTCTTTTGTTTATTTCAGTGCACGTGTTCAAAACGTCAAATGTTGCACGCAAAAAGCGAACTTGAGTGAAAAATGCGTCTAATTGCATACACAGGTTTCTGCGTTTGGCTGTACATTGTTTGTTTGTTTCTCTACACTCGTATCTGTGTGTGTGTATGCGATTTCCAACTTTAGAATGTATTCTTTTTCTACCGCTTGGTTGGTTTGTAAAATTTTAATATTGTCTTCTTTCTCCATATTATGTAGTTTTTTTCTTCTTTGTTCTTCGTGAGCTAGTTGCAGTGGAAATTTTGCTGCAGATTTTAGGGAGCTGAAAAGTTGGTTGTTGTTCGAGCGAGACAGAGAGAGAGATAGAGTAAGTTTTGCGTGAACGTGAGTGCGAATTCAGCGACATGTGCTGGATAGATTATGACAGTGACGTGAATGAGTTTTTGCATTAGAATGGGTGGTGGAGTACTGGTTGGTAGACGTTGCGGGATTAGCTTTTCCGGATCGATCGGTAATTTGGTTATTTTTTGGTAGATCCATGCAGGGTAATGTTTAGTTAATTAGAACGAAAATCAGTTAAGGGTGGAAATTTTGACAAGTCAAGCTGAACACTGCATTAGGTCCTAAGTAACATTGACAGATTCTCTTTGTCGACTTTCTCGTTGCGTCCTCATGGTCAGGTTAAGAAATTCTCAGCTACTTTCAGCACACAGATCGATGGAAGAAGCTATTGAAGGCTGACTAAAAGTAAATTGGTAAGCCCCTCGCACGCCGCTAGCACGCCTCTAGTGTTGGGAATCGAAAATCAGTTGACAGAGGTTTGTTTACACTGCTATAGAGAACAACTGGTGCAAGTTTGATCAAAGTAGTCGATCGCGGTCAGAAATAACGTCAAATGGAACTCGAAAGGAGATGAAATATTGTGCACAAACACCTGGAAAATCCGGAGTGGTCCGGTTCCAAGGTGGCTAAAGTGCTGGAGATGCCGAAAACAACAGTTTGTCGAATGCTCAAAACCTACAAGGAAACCATGAGTGTGAAAAGGAATCAGCGTACCTACGAAAAAACTGGAACCAGAGATCGTCAGCTGCGCAGCAAGGAGTTGAGGTGCGTTTAAGCCAACCCCGGTTTTTCGATCCGAGATGTGGCCAGAAAGTACAACGCCAACTTTCAAACGGTGCGGAACATTCTTGCCAGGGAAGGATACAAGTCGTACAAAGCCAGTAAACATGAAGCAGAATTCCGTGACAAGGCTCTTGTACGACCATGTTTTGACGAAACACAAGGGCTGCAGGTTGATCGATGACGAAACACACGTCAAACTCGATTTTAAGCAGCTTCCCGGTCAAAAATCTTACATCGCGATTGGACGTGGTGATGTGCCGGGAAGATTCAAGTTCGCGAAGAAGGCCATGATTTGGCAAGCGATTTTCAATTGTGGCCTGAAAACGGAACCATTCGTCACATCCTCGACGGTGACATCCCAAGTTTACATCGGAAAATGCCTGAAAAAGCGTGTATTGCCGCAAGCATAGGGGCAAAGTCATCTTTTGGCTCGATTTGGCCAGCTGCCACTACTCCAAGGTGGTTCTGGAGTGGTATGCTGCCAACAAGATCGATTTTGTCCCCAAGCTAATGAGTCCTCCGAATTGCCCGGAATTTCGACCAATCGAAAAATACTGGGCAATTTCAAAGCAGCGACTTTGACGGAGAGGCGGGGCAGTCAAGGACATCCAGCAAATGCGGGCAAAATGGATGAAATGCGCTGATTCCGTTTCCACTGTGCGGGAGCTGATGGGCTCCATCAAGAGAAAGGTTCGAGATTTCGTTCGAACTGGAGAAATGTAACCATCTAATGCTGTAACTTTGAATCAAGAATTACAAGTCATTTTGTGCGTACCAATTTACTTTTAGTCAGCCTTTATCTATCTTCTAATATGACACACACGAGAAGAAACGGTTCTGTACCCAAGTCATTAACGCAAGAGAAAGTCTATGAAGAGAATCGATCAATGTTACTTAGGACCAAATGCATTGTTCAACTTGAAGTGAGCAATTTCATCAGAGCAAGCTACTGTTTGCAAAATATTGGGTTGTCACCTGTCATGTGGAACGTAAATGTTAGAGAGCGTCCAGTATAAGACTGGCTGGTTTTGAGCCAAACGAACTGTCAAGGCTAGAGCCAATCGAGCAGTGCCTATCTTGATTGCATTGGCAGTGTTGCTAGAAATAACCTAGACATAGGTTGCCAAGGCAGTTTGTTTTGAATCCGATCCTCCCTTATACTAGACCCTCTCTAGTAAATGTTTTCAAGGGGCCACTTCGTCAATCAGTTTTCGCTGTTTCTATTCAGTAGCATATTTTTTTTGTAATTAAAGGAAGTGCATACACAACTAGAGCACGCAATATTCCTGATGTTTTTGGAATATTCCTGGAAGTTCCTGCTCTGAAATTCTCTGATAAACCTTCAAGCCACTTTGAAAATTATGAAATTGCCTAAATATCTCAAAACTCCTCTAGACTTCGCTGAGGATCTCAAATTATCTGAGTTTCCAGTTAAGTTAATTGAACTGAACTGTGGTTCATTGACCATCTCTGATGTTCTCAAAGCTGCCCGGAAGTTTGCGCAATTATCATGAAGTTCTTCACCTTAACATTTTCCCTGCAAATTTCCGGACTTCTGTAAAGTTCCCAAAATATGGATGAAGTTTTCTAAACTTTTCAGCAGTTGTCTGGACTTTCCTGAAATTTCCAGGACTCTCAAAGTTTCTCGAAGTTTTCCTGGAATTCATGGAGCTGACCAAAATTAATCGAAACTAACCCTTACAGATCTTAAAATTTCCCGAAATACTGTCCTGAAGCTGTTGGGACTGCCCTTAAGATCTCTGAGCTTGTCTGAAGAGCTCTGGTCCTAACTTGTCTGACGGATTCTAGGAATTTCTATGAAGTATTCACAGTTTTTTCTCAAGTTCTGTGGACTTCTCTGAAGTTTTCATGACTCCCAATAATTCCTTAGAACTTCTCAAAAGTTCCCCCAATTTTTCTGATATTCATGGAACGACTTTGAGATTTTCAGAACTGCCCCAAACTTCACTTCCCTTAAAATCTTCAAATATCATTTGAAGTCTTGGAAACCTCTGTAAAGGTCCAGAAATTTTCCATAATTTATCGGATTGCTTCTTGAAATCAGATCTTAAAACAATCCCGTAATTCTGGACGCGCTTTAAGTTCTCAGAGCTATCCTGAAGTTTTCGGGACTTCCTTGACATTTCCGAAGAACTTCGAGATTAGGGCGTAATTGCTTTTGTAAACAAGCACGTCAATCACCGATTTCTCGCGAATTAAAGCTCAATCTTGAAAACTAACAACACAAACAGGTAGAGGAATGACTCCTCTATCATTTGGTCTAGTTTGTTTACGAGATTGAGCTTTTGTTCGCGAACAATCGGCGATAGACGTGTTTGTTTACAGAAGCAATTACGCCCAAATCTCAAAGTTCTTCGGAAATGTCAAGGAAGTCCCGAAAAACTTCAGGGTAGTTCTGAGAACTTAAAGGACATCCAGAATTACAGGATTGTTTTAAGATCTGATTTCAAGAAGCAATCCAATAAGATTTCTGGACCTTTACAGAGGTTTCCAAGACTTCAAATGATATTTGAAGATTTTAAGGGAAGTGAAGTTTGGGGCAGTTCTGAAAATCTCAAAGTCGTTCCATGAATATCAGAAAAATTGGGGGAACTTTTGAGAAGTTCTAAGGAATTATTGGGAGTCATGAAAACTTCAGAGAAGTCCACAGAACTTGAGAAAAACTGTGAATACTTCATAGAAATTCCTAGAATCCTTCAGACAAGTTAGGACCAGAGCTCTTCAGACAAGCTCAGAGATTTTTGGAGTTTAGCTGAAATTCTCAAAACTTCTTGAAGGCTCCCGTAATAAAAAAAAAGCAGAGCCATGGTATGAACCTAGCACCAAGTCTACAATTCTTTCTTGAAATTCTCGGAACTTCATTAAAGATTCCGTCAAGTTATTATTTTTTAATCTTAAAATTTTGGGAAATTCCCTTGAGTTTACAATTTTTTCGGATGTTCATGGCACTATACTGAAATTATCTGAACTTTCTCGAAACTTGCTGACCTTTTTCAAAGATATTTAAACTTACCACATGCCTCCGGTAAAATGTGTAACGGCAAACTTGCAATGTTTGAAAAATCATAGCTCAGCCATTTATTGACAAATCTCAAATCTATTAGCGCATTTTGAAACTACAACCCCTAAAGATTTATTCGCTATCTAAAGATTTAAAATCTATTGATAAATTGCTGAGCAATGATTTTTCAAACATTCGCAATTTGCCGTTACACATTTTACCGGAGGCATCTTGTTCGGAGTGTTAAAGATCCGGAAATGTTCTTGAAGTTACTGGAGCTGTCATGACGTACTCAGAGCTTACTCTAAAAGATGTTTAAACTTCCCCAAAGTTCTGGACTTCTTGTAGTCCTTGGAACTTCCCTGAAATTTTGTAAACTTCTCTATATATTTTGAATGTTCTCTAAAGTTCTTGACTGTACTCGAAAAAAAAGTGAGACCGATTGATTAGTTTATAACTTTCAACTTGTGGGTAAAAATTGACCAAATTTTGACTGAAACTAGCTAAGAGTGCAATGTTTACGCTGGCGAGATTTGATCACAATCTGCCAAGCGGTTATCGAGATGGCATCGGAGCAAGAGCAGATCCGCCAAAATATCTTGTGCGCCGTCGTGGAAAATCCGACTGCGTCCCACAGATGGATCGGGAAACACGTGGGAATCCATCATTCGACGATTTCCCGAAGACAGCTGACCCAGTGAAGGCCAGGAAGGTGTTGAGCCTGTTCAAGCGTCGCCCGAATTTTTCGATTCGCTATGCGACGAAGAAGGCGACGTCCACGATGAAATGTACCGGCATCCACGTCTACAAGGTCCGGAAGGCACCGAACCCGAACGACAAACAAAACTGTACCGGGAGTGGCTGACGAAACCGAGGTGCGTCCTGATGGACGACGAGACTTACATCAAGGCGGACATACAGCAGTTGTCGGGGCAGGAATTGGAGGTAAGGAAGAAGAAGGTGGACAAATTGGCCATCTGTGGGTGCGGCAAGATGAGCCAGCCGTACATCACGACAGATACCATCAACGGGCAAATATACCGGGACGAGTGCCTCCAGAAGCGCCTCCTACCCTTCCTCCGGTCTCACGGAGGCGAGACGCTGTTTTGGCCGGATTCCGCGCGGCCGGTGTTAGACTGGTACAGAGACAGCAATGTAGCTTTTGTACTAAAAGAAGAACTCGCCGAAATTTCGCCCTATTGAGAAGTTTTGGGTCATCATGAAGGCCAGACTTCGTAAAACAGCTAAAGTGTTGGAGAACGAGCTGGCTTTGAAGAAACAGTGGATGAAAGTATCAAAAGAAGTCGGCCCCGCCATTGCCCAAAACCTTATGAAAGGTGCGGGCATTCGGTTATGAAGCGGAGATCCAATAATGCAATGCTGTAGAAACCTAACCATAAAGTTGTAGTTTTTTCCCATGTATAGTTTAGTTATCATAATTATTAAAGTCTACGTAGACTTTAAGAGGGTGGAAGAGGGGTTTTAGAAAGTCAGGGGTTATAAAAAAGTATAACATTCTGCGTGGATTATGAACGGCCAAAAAGAGAGTGCTTGAAATTTCTATTTAAGTTTCACAGCAGTCTATCCTAACGTAACGTCTTGTTACTGAAATCGCTAAACTGTCATGATTATTGTTATGCTTCTTTTCTTTCCAAATCATAGCCACCTAGGACACTGTCATAAACACGGTAAGCGTCCAATGTCAAACCGAGGGGTGATTGATTGAAATTATGGCGAGTGTAAAAAGCTGCATAAGTTCTATAAAAGACACAACGAACAAATTTAGCTGCAGACTAACTTATACAGGCACAAATTACCTGTATAAGCCAATTTTTGTTTTGCTGTATAAGCTAGACTGCAGCTAATTTTGTTACTTGGGGAGAGTGTTCTAAACTTCATTTACCAGCTACCGATCAAGCATCCGATGAAACAACTCCCGCCTAGGCTTCCAGTTCTTCAGACGCGATGAAACGCAGGCCAACCCCCGAAGGTTAGTGACGGGGAGATGATTTATAAGAGACGCGAGAAAAGACATCAATAGCATTTTCAAAAAATTCTTTCTACACTTTACCGAGACTGCCTTTCGCCTACCTGCCGGCTGGCCTACTTGCGGGATAGGCTCTTGGTCGACGTCTTCTCGATGTGGACCAGGATGCTGTTGGAGGTACCGAACGTCGACACCCGTATGTCAAACTTCCCGTCCAGTCCGAGCGGGTGTGTCATTAATCTTGCACTTTCGATCGTCGACTCGCACAGTCTGCAAAACGAGAAAAGGAAGAGAGAGAGAGAGAGATGATGAAAATTCGTCAGAAATGAAAAATGAATTCCCAGCAAAGGATGAATTCGTGCCGGACACAGTCGAGCGGTGGTGGTTGGGACTGATTCGAGGGAAATCAGTGATTTGAGCAGGGATTGGAGGTTTTTTTTTCTCTTCATAATCAAGCTTCCCGGTTCGGTGAATTAAATCCACAACTAATGGTTTCTCTTTTGGGATGTAGCTTCTCTTTCAGATATAAGAAAAAAACTATCGGATCAGATGACAAGTCAGCGAACTGAGAACATCAAATATTTGGACAGGTTTGGAGAGATTTGTGGCATATAGCCCCTCGCTGTATAAATTTGTCGAGCATTGAAATTCCTTTTTATCCGGAGCAGGGGTTGAAACAGTTGACGTTTTTTACTACACTCGCTTCTTTGTCGTGCGCGACAGTGTGTTTTTATTCCTACACTCATGCTCTACCGTCGTCTCTCTCACACAACACAACCGGTAGAATAACATTCGATCGAAAAGAAAATTATCAAATAACTATCATATGACATGAGTAATTTCGTTCTAATTCCTCAACTTGGTATAAATTAAACCATTTCTGATCAGAAATGTTATTCCTAGGACATCATTGCTTGTTATTTTCAGAATTCACACAAGCACAACATCAGCAGCTCTTATTATGAGAAAAACTAAAATACATACATTCGTGACGGTCTTCGGCGACAGTGTCGAATGACAGAGCCTGTCGTATGACATTTTAGTTTGGTACTGTACTATGATAGCTTGTTTTCCAAATGTCGGAGGCAAAAGCAGTCGATTATCACAGAAAATGTGTCGACTATCGTGACCGCTTACAAGACTGATCCGGAGAGCGTATATTCATTGTACAGCTTTCACTACTTTAGACGCAAAAATTCGGTGCTAACATTGGAAAAGGGTGAAATTGACTTTGTTACCTTTAGCCGCCGGTTTCTCGGGAATTTAAGCTCACACATGCAAAGTAACGACACCATCAAAGCAATGTTTCCTCTATCAGCATCTAGGCATCGTTTATTTGCAGGCGTAACTGTTTACAAAAACAGTTGCGCCCTTTTGAAATGTTAGCACCGAATTTTGCGTGTAAAGTACTGGACGTGCTGTCAAATCCTGGGGGGGGACGTGCTGTCAAATCAGCCTACTGATCATTCTTGTATGAAACTGGCTCCAAATGTAAACAATCGCTGTAGGTTTCTTATGGCTTGTTTACGTTTGGAACCAGTTATGCGAGGCATGCGAGGTAGGTGACGATTGTTCGTATTTGACAGCCACCTCCCCCCCTTGGTCAAATCAGCTTACTGTTCCTTCTTGTATGAAATTAGCTCCAAACGTAAACAAACCATGTAGGTTTCTTATGGCTTGTTTACGTTTGGAACCAGTTATACGAAGTAGGCGACGATTGTTCGTATTGGACAGCCACATACCACCCCTGTGTGTAATATCACATGTTTCCGAGCAGTTTTGGCAAAATCATCAATCAAATTATATTTTCCGCTCTCATACGCTCTGAATATCACGCGTGATTTTGGAACAATGACAATTATGACTGCACGACTATTTAAAAAATATGATATATTTGTTTTTCAAATCTGTGATCTAGGAAAAAATTTCAACTCTCACATTTTAACTATTTTTTCTCCAAATCTTGCATCACGAAGATTGTTATTAATCCTGAATTTTGAAGAAAAGTTCTAGTTGCAGACTCTACACAAATTTCAAAGCCCCAGAATCTTGAGAATGTATCTTTTTAGTGAATAATCTTTCAGTAATTTTTTTTTAAGCATTGGTCTATTGGTCGTGGGTATTAAATTTTATGAACCATGTTTAGTTTCACGTTGAGTTAGCTCAAACGTCAATAGGTTTCACATATTTTTTTTCGTGGTTAACTTTGTACATCAGCGCGAGTACTGAAAGGTTAATGTTTATGTTAGTATAGACCAGTGTTGGCAATATCATCAATCAAACGATATTTTTCTGCTCTCATAGACTCTCAATATCACGCGTGAAATTGAAACAAAATATGATGCTTGATATTGATTTTACAAGCTCCTTTGATATTGCGAGACTATTCGCAACGTGCAAAAATCAAGCGGAGAGTTGACTTGACACAAAAATGATTCCGTTGCACATCGTTTTCTTAGAAATAGAAAGTATAGTTTGCTATCTCTTTTTACTGTTCACCGATGGCAGACACGAAAGTGTCACTATGAAAGTTTAACAGATAAAATGAGGGGTTAGTGGATTTTCCTATCTTTCGAGAGGTGAATCGATTAGCTTGGGACCGTAGATAGTACCAGAGCTGAGCCAAAAAGTTGAGCTCATTTCTTCGGGACCTTCTGATCTTAGAGTTACCTCTATGTTAATAGTGAAGTGGTTTCAGATAAACCAGTAGGAAATAAACCGAAAAAACTAGCGAATTAAGGAAAAACGAATTGAACTTTTATTGAAAACGTGTTTTTACTTTTTGTTTACACTTCTTGATTGACGCAGTAGAAAAACTCACAGGGGCGTATCAGAAAATATGGGCAATTAGGATACTGTGGTTACACACTTAACACCCCTGCTTAACCACGGTAGCATAGAGGTAACTCTAAGACTAGTAGGTCCCGAAGAAACGTGCTCAACTTTTTGGCTCAGCTCTGGTACTATCTTCGGTCCCAAGCTTATCGATTCACCCCTCGAAACATAGGAAAATCCACTAACCCCTCATTTTGTCTGTCAAACGTTCATAGCGAATCAAAACAAACATTGTGTAGTACTAGAAATTCGACTAGAACAGGGTACGTTAATCGTTTGCTTGGGACCAATAGGCTAGTCAAGTAGTGAGTCCTTCTCGTCTTTGACTGTCTTCTTGCTCTTCCGAAGTTCCCGCTTCATTATTGCCCAGTACTGCCACACTTTTAGAATAGTGGCATGATGCCAAATCTGGCCAAAATAGCGGAGTTTCGTCGTGCTGCTGCAACAACGGCAAAAGGCGCTTCTCGAGGCACTCAGATTTGTAGATCTCGTCATTTACTGTGCCCTTTGTCACGAAAGGCTCACTCCTCAGTCCGCAAGAGCAGATGGCCTGCCAAATGAGATATTTGGAGGCGAACTTCGACATTTTCTTCTTCTTAAATTTGTCGTCCACATCGAACTTGCTCTTGCCGGTGAAAAACTCCAACCCCGGAATTTGCTTAAAATCGGCATTTATATACGTTTCGTCGTCCATCACACAACAGCCATATTTTGTCAGCATCTTCTCGTAGAGCTTCCGTGCCCGAGTTTTAGCCGTCGATTGTTGCCGCTCATCGCGGTTTGGGAAGTTCTGTACCTTGTATGTATGTAGTCCAGCTCTCTTCTTTGCATTCTGGACGTAGCTCTGTGACATGCCGATCTTTTTAGCCAAATCACGGCTTGAGACGTTGGGATTTGCTTTAATCATCCGCTTCACCTTTCCCTCCGTCTTTTTGTTCTCCGGTCCCGGTTTTCTTCCAGCTCCTTTGCCGTGGTCCAACGTCAACCGCTCCTGAAACCGCTTCAACACTCTGGAGACGGTTGAATGGTGAATGTTCAACATTTTTCCCAACTGCCGGTGCGACAGGTCAGGAAATTCCAGGTGTTTGGAAAGAATTTGTTCTCTCAACTCGCGTTGGTTCACCTCCATTTTCGTTGAATCGAAAAACACGACTTCGAGTTTGACAGCATGTACACAATACACATCAATGAGAAAGTGTGCAAAATTTGGTTGATTTTTACCCAATAATAAAAAAGTTATGCCCTGTTGAATGTGTCGCAATAATTTCGTGTTCGCCCTTTAACTGCCAGTATGAGTGTGTATGAGTGCGTGAAAGTGAGAGACTGACGAAGCATAAATTGCTGATGTGTGTACAATTTATGTTTGTTGACTAGTCCATAGAGATTGCTGACGTTTATCGTACGCACACCCATGTCACGTATACGTATACGCAAAATGTTTTCATCGGGAAAAAAAACTTCATAGCGGAAATTTTTTCCGATGAAAACAAATCACTGACACAATCATACTTTAGCAATCTCTATTGTAACTTGTAAATAAAGACGCACGTAGAACGTAGTCCACGGTCGTTATTTTTCTTCGTTATCACGCTACTCCCGGGACGGGTGTTTATTGTCCGGTAGTTCGGTTTGGATAACATGTGTACACCTGCGCTGGGATTCCCACAGATTCTTCGTATTCCGGAATTGTAACGGCACTCGAGTCGATGCCCGAGGAGAATTTATCGCTCGAGTTTGTGAAGTGCAGATTGCTGGATGAAGAAACCAAGCGGCGAGGTATGGAATTGGTTCCATCGCAGAGCGGAGAAGCTGCTTTTTCCGGATCGATGGTAGTGAAGCAGAAGAAGCTGATTTGTTTTCACTGTAAAGGCCTGTGTAGAGATCAAAGCGAAGCGAAAACCTCATACAAAATACTAAATTTTTCACCTGAGTGAAAAACCGCAATTGGCAAATTTTTCCCTTCGCTTTGAACTGTAAACAGATACGATCCAGCGAAATCTAATTTTGTGGATCGTATCTTTTTCGCTGACGTTTATTTTTTTTTCGTGCATGCAGCGCTAGCGAAAAGAGCGTATCTGTCAGATTTTCACTTCACCGGAGGTGTAAACAGGTGTAAACTGATCGATTTCGTTTCACATGAACTGTAAACTACGAAAAAAGGAAACTGGAAAATGTTCCACAAACATTTTTTCACAACCTTTTTCGCTAGCAAAATTTCATGATTTTTCGCGTGCTTCAATTTTTGTTTCGCTTCGATCTGTATACTACACTTAAAAAAATGTACACGTCGCTATTATGTGGTTCACACTTAATTTTGCGCAATACGTCAAACACATGCATTTGATGTGTGATCCTTATGATATAAATTGATTTCTGAGCACTACAAAACTACTTGTGAAACATTTAGATGTTTTGTTTCTCACTTATTGATATTA